ATTCAATTCTGGCCTCTAGGCACCTCGTGTGAATTTTTGAGCAAATTTGGTGAAGTTGGATTTTTGGGTCAAAACTGACTTTTTTTATGATGCCGGCTATGGAAAACGTTGAAGTTTTGGGGCATTTTGTAAAAAATCTAAAATTGTTCTTTTCTCACTGGATACCGAATGTAATGAGTTGAACTCTTCAGGGAATTCAATTCTGGCCTCTAGGCACCTCGTGTGAACTTTTGAGCAAATTTGGTGGAGTTTGATTTTTGGGTCAAAATCTGACTTTTTTTATGATGCCGGCTATGGAAAACGTTGAAATTTTGGGGGCATTTTGTGAAAAATCTAAAATTGTTCTTTTCTCACTAGATACTGAATGTAATGAGTTGAACTCTTCAGGGAATTCAATTCTGGCCTCTAGGCACCTAGTGTGAACTTTTGAGCAAATTTGGTGAAGTTTGATTTTTGGGTCAAAAACTGACTTTTTTTATGATGCCGGCTATGGAAAACGTTGAAGTTTTGGGACATTTTGTAAAAAATCTAAAATTGTTCTTTTCTCACTGGATACCGAATGTAATGAGTTGAACTCTTCAGGGAATTCAATTCTGGCCTCTAGGCACCTCGTGTGAACTTTTGAGCAAATTTGTTGAAGTTGGATTTTTGGGTCAAAAACTGACTTTTTTTATGATGCCGGCTATGGAAAACGTTGAAGTTTTGGGGCTTTTTGTCAAAAATCTAAAATTGTTCTTTACTCACTGGATACCGAATGTAATGAGTTGAACTCTTCAGGGAATTCAATTCTGGCCTCTAGGCACCTCGTGTGAACTTTTGAGCAAATTTGTTGAAGTTGGATTTTTGGGTCAAAAACTGCCTTTTTTTATGATGCCGGCTATGGAAAACTCTAGGTGCCTAGAGGCCAGAATTGAATTCCCTGAAGAGTTCAACTCATTACATTTTTTATGATGCCGGCTATGGAAAACGTTGAAGTTTGGGGGCATTTTGTGAAAAATCTAAAATTATCTTTTCTCACTGGATACTGAATGTAATGAGTTGAACTCTTCAGGGAATTCAATTCTGGCCTCTAGGCACCTCGTGTGAATTTTTGAGCAAATCTGGTGAAGTTGGATTTTTGGGTCAAAAACTGACTTTTTTTATGATGCCGGCTATAGAAAACGTTGAAGTTTTGGGGCATTTTGTAAAAAATCTAAAATTGTTCTTTTCTCACTGGATACCGAATGTAATGAGTTGAACTCTTCAGGGAATTCAATTCTGGCCTCTAGGCACCTAGTGTGAACTTTTGAGCAAATTTGGTGAAGTTTGATTTTTGGGTCAAAAACTGACTTTTTTTATGATGGAAAACGTTGAAGTTTTGGGACATTTTGTAAAAAATCTAAAATTGTTCTTTTCTCACTGGATATCGAATGTAATGAGTTGAACTCTTCAGGGAATTCAATTCTGGCCTCTAGGCGCCTCGTGTGAACTTTTGAGCAAATTTGGTGAAGTTGGATTTTTGGGTCAAAAACTGACTCTTTTATGATGCCGGCTATGGAAAACGTTGAAGTTTGGGGGCATTTTGTGAAAAATCTAAAATTATCTTTTCTCACTGGATACTGAATGTAATGAGTTGAACTCTTCAGGGAATTCAATTCTGGCCTCTAGGCACCTCGTGTGACTTTTTGAGCAAATTTGGTGAAGTTGGATTTTTGGGTCAAAAACTGACTTTTTTTATGATGCCGGCTATAGAAAACGTTGAAGTTTTGGGGCATTTTGTAAAAAATCTAAAATTGTTCTTTTCTCACTGGATACCGAATGTAATGAGTTGAACTCTTCAGGGAATTCAATTCTGGCCTCTAGGCACCTCGTGTGAACTTTTGAGCAAATTTGTTGAAGTTGGATTTTTGGGTCAAAAACTGACTTTTTTTATGATGCCGGCTATGGAAAACGTTGAAGTTTTGGGGGCATTTTGTGAAAAATCTAAAATTGTTCTTTTCTCACTAGATACCGAATGTAATGAGTTGAACTCTTCAGGGAATTCAATTCTGGCCTCTAGGCACCTAGTGTGAACTTTTGAGCAAATTTGGTGAAATTTGATTTTTGGGTCAAAAACTGACTTTTTTTATGATGCCGGCTATGGAAAACCTTGAAGTTTTGGGACATTTTGTAAAAAATCTAAAATTGTTCTTTTCTCACTGGATACCGAATGTAATGAGTTGAACTCTTCAGAGAATTCAATTCTGGCCTCTAGGCACCTCGTGTGAACTTTTGAGCAAATTTGGTGAAGTTGGATTTTTGGGTCAAAAACTGACTTTTTTGATGATGCCGGCTATGGAAAACGTTGAAGTTTTGGGGCTTTTTGTCAAAAATCTAAATTGTTCTTTACTCACTGGATACCGAATGTAATGATTTGAACTCTTCGGGGATTTCAATTCTGGCCTCTAGGCACCTCGTGTGAACTTTTGAGCAAATTTGGTGAAGTTGGATTTTTGGGTCAAAAACTGACTCTTTTATGATGCCGGCTATGGAAAACGTTGAAGTTTGGGGGCATTTTGTGAAAAATCTAAAATTATCTTTTCTCACTGGATACTGAATGTAATGAGTTGAACTCTTCAGGGAATTCAATTCTGGCCTCTAGGCACCTCGTGTGAATTTTTGAGCAAATTTGGTGAAGTTGGATTTTTGGGTCAAAAACTGACTTTTTTATGATGCCGGCTATAGAAAACGTTGAAGTTTTGGGGCATTTTGTAAAAAATCTAAAATTGTTCTTTTCTCACTGGATACCGAATGTAATGAGTTGAACTCTTCAGGGAATTCAATTCTGGCCTCTAGGCACCTCGTGTGAACTTTTGAGCAAATTTGGTGAAGTTGGATTTTTGGGTCAAAAAGTGACTTTTTTTATGATGCCGGCTATGGAAAACGTTGAAGTTTTGGGGGCATTTTGTGAAAAATCTAAAATTGTTCTTTTCTCACTAGATACTGAATGTAATGAGTTGAACTCTTCAGGGAATTCAATTCTGGCCTCTAGGCACCTAGTGTGAACTTTTGAGCAAATTTGGTGAAGTTTGATTTTTGGGTCAAAAACTGACTTTTTTTATGATGCCGGCTATGGAAAACGTTGAAGTTTTGGGACATTTTGTAAAAAATCTAAAATTGTTCTTTTCTCACTGGATACCGAATGTAATGAGTTGAACTCTTCAGGGAATTCAATTCTGGCCTCTAGGCACCTCGTGTGAACTTTTGAGCAAATTTGTTGAAGTTGGATTTTTGGGTCAAAAACTGACTTTTTTTATGATGCCGGCTATGGAAAACGTTGAAGTTTTTGGGCTTTTTGTCAAAAATCTAAAATTGTTCTTTACTCACTGGATACCGAATGTAATGATTTGAACTCTTCGGGGATTTCAATTCTGGCCTCTAGGCACCTCGTGTGAACTTTTGAGCAAATTTGGTGAAGTAGGATTTTATGGTCAAAAACTGACTTTTTTGATGATGCCGGCTATGGAAAAAGTTTTCTTTTCTCACTGGATACCAAATGTAATGAGTTGAACCTTTCAGGGAATGCAATTCTGGCCTCTAGGTGCCTCGTGTGAACTTTTCAGCAATTTTGGTGAAGTTGGATTTTTGGGTGAAAAACTGACTTCTTCGTTGATGCCGGCTATGGAAAACGTTAAGTTTTGAGGGCATTTTGTAATAAATCATAAAGTTTTCTTTTCTCACTGGATACCAAATGTAATGAGTTGAACTCTTCAGGGAATTCAATTCTGGCCTCTTGGCACCTCGTGTGAACTTTTGAGCAAATTTGGTAAAGCTTGATTTTTGGGTAAAAAACTGACTTTTTCGATGATGCCGGCTATGGAAAACGTTGAAGTTTTGGGGGCATTTTGTAAAAAATCAAAAAGTTTTCTTTTCTCACTGGATACTTAATGTAATGAGTTGAACCTTTCGGGGAATTCAAATCTTTCCTCTAGGTGCCTCATGTGAACTTTTCAGCAATGTTGGTGAATTTGGATTTTTGGGTGAAAAACTGACTTTTTTATGATGCTGGCTATGGAGAAATAATTGTTAATTTTTATCCTTTTTTTGGGGGGTGGGGGGCGTGGCATGGGGATATCATACCTGCCAACTGTTCCGATTTAGGCGGAACTGTTCTGATTTCAGAGATAAAAAGTGCCCGAAAATCGGAACGTCCCGATTTTCCGAGTTGCGCGAGAAGAAATAATACAAAAAATAAAAAAAATTAAAAAATGCCCCGGATCCGTCGTACACTTGTCCGAGAAAAATGTTTTATTGTATTGAGGGCGCTATTGCTGCTACCATAATGGTATAAAATCCGCCTCGCTCTTATGTACGACGAAAGGGACGTAAACCAGACTCAAACGTCATCGAACAGGCTATGTCCCAATAGGCTGCGGCCGTACGCGCGCACAGCAGGCTTGTGCGATCGGCCACTGACAACCTAGCCGCAGGCAATAATTTGGACGCGAACTGAGACCCGCTACGTCATCCGTCTGGTGTACTGCCTCTCTTGCGTGCTTACTGAATTAAGCGTGGGCCGGGCACGGCAAAACACCATGGTTGCCAACCATCTACCAGTTCCACAGGAGACCAGTAATGGGTATTAATTATGAAAATGCTGCCACTTCAAGTATGATATATTTTGTAATTTCTGTTGATGTGATTTTCATCCTTCCAATATTTCTATTCACCAGTCAACATTCTATACACCAGTAGAGGCCCTGTAAGAATTGATGTTTAAAACATCAATTTTTGTATGATTGCCCCTGGACCCCACCCATTAGCGCGAGCGCCTGCGCCGCTCACCGTGTGTGATGCGTAGGCACCCTGTTCCTCTTTCTGACTTTTCAATCTTGGCAGGTATGATATATGTTCTGTTACTATGTTTCAAATGCAAGAGTTTTTTTTTAAATTATGTTTTAAACCAATACATCTACATGATGTAGTTTTAGAACTTGTTGTGTAGAGCAATGGTTAGATCTTGTGTTGTTATTTCTGTCTAATTGAGGGTTTTCTTTGCCTTTGCAGGTTTGAAACAATGCACACTCCAGACTGCCTAATTGTCACCCCTGCAGCTGGAGTGGTGGAGTCTGCCAAACAGTTGTACATATTGGTTAGCTGTAACCCTTCCATTCGGTCTAAAGGGGTGCAGTTGCCTTGGAGGGGAACCATTCTGGTGGTGTGTGATGGACGGCAGAAGGTACTGCAAAATTCAAATAGTATTTTCTGAATTGTTCCTTGCTAAATCTTCCTGTAATCAGTGTGCATGTTGGCTATTGGTTCATTTGTAAAAGGGAATGTACAACATTTGCTTTTTCTGTAATTTTCAGAAATAAATGGATTTGGAGGATTAGTATGTTACAGAAAATATTGTTAAATTGACTTGTTTCAAGTTTTGGGCTTGTAGATGCTGGAAAAACCAACAAAACCTATCATGCTCTTGTAGTCTGGCTCCCTGACTCCACTTAAAATGAAACAGAACAATTAATACACCTGGGGAATTGTAAGGTCAGAGAATCAGTCTAGCAGGCTTGTACCCCTTCGCAGGTGTGTAATCAATTGTAAAGAAAAGTCAGAATTACTAAATATGAAAACTTAGGAACAGTTTTTCAAAAAAGCCTGTTTTCTCCATTGCTGGTCGGCCGACCAGCGTTGGAAAAATACAGTTTTTCTCGAAAATGTCGGCACACCAGGAGCCATGATTTTAAAGGATAATTTAGACTGTCAGTCCCTAACAATTAAGTAAGGCATTTCGTGATAATTTGATCATTTTGTTTTTTGATGTTTGCAAATGTTGTATCTTCCCTTTATCTTAGGAAGACAGCACTTGACTTACAAAAACAGCTGAAATTTAAAAAAACAACCTTGATGCGTTTTCATACTCGGTAGGGTTGTTATTTTTACGCAGATTTTCTGAAATGTTTATCCCTCTTTTGAAGTTACCGTGAGGTTACTGTAGGGTTTCCACCTTGTAATGTGTAAAATCTCAATGCAAAGAATTTGTGCATGCTGTGGAAAAGTTTAGCCAGAGAACACTGTGTAGAATTTGTTTGTGAATGTTGTTTTGGCTTTGAAACTTGTAATGATTCCTGGTCCTGTTAAAGCCACATGCCCCGTAAAGTACAGACAATTTGGGCGATTCACAATGCAGAGCGCCACCAATAGTTTGGCACAGAGAGTTCATTTTTCCCAGTGCATTGTGGGAGATGGTCGACAAATTTCGCAGCGCAGGACAATTGAAATTGTTCGTTTTATGCGGTGAATAGTTTCGTAAGCGTATGATTCGAGTTTATGTTTGCCCTTTTCTTTTCTTTGTATCAATATGGTGATTTTTGGTAAGGCGGCAGAACGCTACGCCCCAATCTATAACAAATTAGCTCTAGTGTCTACTGACACTCATTCAAATGGGCCATATTTTGTCGACTGTAAACTTGAAAAGTTGACTCTCAATGGCAAACTCTTGGTGACGCACTGCATTGTGAATCCCCCGAATTGAGTATAGTCTTGATTTCCAGTCTTGATTGAGACCAACTCATCACCCCATAATCGTGAAGACATTGGCCCCCTTCCTAACGGAAGACGAAATTGCCTTTTCTTTTCACAGGAGGTCAAAGTTCAAATCCGAGAGGACTTTGGAATGGACACCTCCATTGTCCCCTCAATGCGTAACATGCAGTCCCTCCCAGATCAACCTGTCACCCCTGACACCTCAATGGTGCCAACTCGGACTGATGGCGCATCTCCGGTTAAGCTTCTCTCCAAAGTCGTCCGATTTCCCAGCACCAAAGTTGGAAGCACATCAGGTAGTCATTCATTGTTTAAAGGGTTTCATGGAAACTGGAGTGAAAGTTGATTTGTTGTATACTCTGCATTGTTAAAGCTACAGTCCATCATTTGCAGCTATCCAAAAAGTGACTGACGTAATTATTGTTGAAAAACATACTTGGTTGAAAGATAGTAAGGGAACTAAACTCCCAGTGAAATTATTCTTTCTGGCATGCAGTCATTTTGAAGAAATCGACGAAAGAAGGCCTTTCCAACTAAACGGTGCGTCTTTTCCGTTAGTAGTTCGTTTTTTTTATATGGCGAAGCGCGCAAGCGTTGACATGATGCACGTGCGCGTGCCCTCTATAATTTGTGGGATCAGTGCGCGACATCCCGTAGCTGCAATCGGCTCATTGAGAACGTGTCTCGGATGCTGAATTCAGGCCCAATTCAAAACATGATTCAGCAACTTTTGATTTGAATCGAGATCCTAGAATGTTGTTTTTCTCGAAATTTACAGCTGAAGCTGAGCTATAACTTCATCAGGTTACTTGTTCAGTATCCTTCATTAGATTTTGATCACTTTTGTTGCTTCAAACGAACAAAATGCACAAACTACAAATGATGGACTATACCTTTCACTCTTTTAAGATTTTTGCCAGGGGAAATACAATCACATTCTGTACACACAAGATACATGGAAATCTCTTTTCCAACCGTCCGAATGCAAAGATGTACATAGAGGCTCACCAGACCAAATGTTGCTACCCTGACTTGTTTACCCTTTTTTTGGAGAGGAACGTTGTGCTTTCTAATGTGTTTTTTTTACTTGGTGCCGGAATGGGGAAACGTTTACCACACACTAGCATGGTTCTCCTGTCATACTTAAATTAAAGACCATTGATATTGTTGAAGTCAATTCCCCTCAGCAGTCTACCTTCCGTATCCCTCTACCAACCAACAGAGGCCACACTAGAGTTTCAGAATAAGACCTACCAAGCTCGTCAGTGGTGCTTGTCTTCGTTTGCTCCTACCTACGTCAAGCAAGCTAACGGTGAGGTCTACAGGGCGACATACTCGGCGTTCCGCTTCACACGCCAGTTTGGAAGTCTGGAGCCTGGACAGAATATTGCGGTAAGTATTTGTAACGCTTTGAGACAAAGGAAAAGATTTCCACAAAATCTCATAAATGGAGTGTACAGTTGCAACAAAAACCACAGGTTTTGAATGTTTCCTATCACTGAACAGAGCTGAAGTGGAATCATAGAGCTATATTAAATTACTAGAGCGCTAACTCGATGTACAAAGTAATGCCTGATGGGCGCATCCATGTTTGTGCACAAACCTATGGAAAAGTCAAAATTTTGTACGGCTTTTGTACGGCTATTTGCATATCTGTGTTTGTTTTCCATTCCGGTGTGTCATCGAAGCCGATGCACCCAAAACCGAAACGCACGATCAGTAAGTGAGTGTTTAATTTTGCCCTACGCAAACAGCGCAACGTGTGCACGTCCCTCCGCTGCAGATGCTTTTCGCCGTGAGGTTTTTTTAACTGTCATGACGCGCTTAAGTTGTATGCATATCTTCTAATTGCGCGTTGCATTTAGAATGCACTTTTAAAATTCAATCCGTCTATTTTGATTGTGTTCTACAAACACGCACATAAATTCAAAATGTCTGCGCCCAGAGCGGCTTCAAAGCGTCTCTGCACGCAAGAATGAGGAGTTAGCGCTCTAGTAATTTAATATAGCTCTTTGAGTGGAATGCATACATGTAAGCACATGATTCTTTGATGGTTCATCAGCCACAACTAGTACTTTTAGTTGAGACCAGTGGATACAAGCTTTCCTCCCATCCTACGTTGTCACTTTTTATCGTCACAAAGTCATCATTGGTTTGATTTCTATTTGATTGGACTAGGTTCATCTGGAGTTCATTCCTAGAGATGAGGGTGCCTATTCACAGTACTGGGATCTTGAGGTATGCAGGGAAGTCTCCCAACATGATTCATATCATTGATAAAGCTAATGTTAGCTTTAAAGAGGTTGTGGAATGCTCGAAGACATTTCCGTCATTTTTTGGGTATATGTAGCCTAAGGTGTGATGAAATAAAAACGACTATTGTTTCTGTCATGAAATGAGTACAAAGGGTACTTTTGAGAGCTATTTTTCAGGTCCTGTTTCGACCTGAACGTGCAATTTGTGTAAAAGTCTTCGTTGCGGGCAGCAAACAAAACACAGTAAATCGTGACGTAATAAACAGGACTCGTGTATGCTACTCTGCATCGGGAGTCCTGTTTATTACGTCACGATTTACTGTTTTTTGTTTGCTGCCCGCAACGACGACTTTTACACAAATTGCACGTTCAGGTCGAAACAGGCATGACAGGACTTGAAAAACAGCTCTCAAAAATACTTTTTGTACTCATTTTATGACAGAAACAATAGTCGTTTTTATTTCATCGCACCTTAGGCTACATATACCCGAAAAATGACGGAAATGTCTTCGAGCATTCCACAACCTCTTTAATGTTGCTGTGGAGTGCTGTGGCCTCGTGGTTAAGGGCACTGGATTCGTGGTCTGTGGGTAAAGCTGGGGGTTGTGGGTTCGAGTCCAGCCGGGGTCATGGTGCGTGTGCCCTTGAGCAAGGCACTTTGTCACTCATTGCTTCTCTCCACCCAGGAGTAAATGGGTACCTGTGAGGGCAGAGATGGTTATTGTGGTTGAATAAGCTTGCTTGCGCCTAACAGGCAGCATCGAGCTGTATACTCCCCAGGGAGCTGAGATGGTATTTGGAATGTTTAATTGGCCCAATGATCAGGGGTAATAATAATACTGTAAGCACTGTGATTTAGTTCACTAATAAGAGCGTTCTTAAATGCCGATTATTATTTGCGCAGTTTACCAAGCGTATGTCATTTCCAAGCCGTTGCTAAGATTGACAGGGCTTATGACCAATCCCGATCGGTCCATTGTTCCACCTAAAGTAATAAGAGCGTTCTTAAATGCCGATTATTATTATTATTAATAATGTTAGTCAGTATGAAAGAGGAAACTAGAGGCACACGTCTCCTTTTGTGTTCATGTGTAAAGCAGTGAAAGTTGTATGTTGGATTATGGATTGCCGAAGTGTGACATCGTTTAGAACCAGAAAATGTAGTGCAAACGAATGTAGTACGCGCGCGTGTTGGTTCTTGGGCTGAATCACGCGCTTAATGTCTTTTACACACATTTTGTGCGCATGACGTATTCACTTCGGTACTCCATAACACCTCACCCACAGATTTCTGTGTCTTCATTGGCCGAGAGCAAGTCACATGATACTTTCTATTTTTGCTATCTTTCTGTGCACGGCCAAAAGTACTATACCCGTAGCAACCAAAGTACTATACCATTAGCAACCAAATTACTATACCCATGGCGGTATTTGTGTGCAAATGCGTGCTGGTGTGCACGTTGAGCGTAGCGCGTATTGTTTCTAAGACGGCGCGCCACAGAGTTGGGTTAAAACACTTCGTAAAGGGGTGGTTTGGAAGAGAGAGATACATTTCCCACCAATTTTGTACTGAAATTGAAGTATATTTTAACTGTGTTCAGATTTAAATAACTTAAAATATTAAAACAAAGCAGAATCTGTGGGTGAAGTGTTATCAAACAAATAGTGAATGCTTTATCTCTTGGTGAAGTAAAACTAGCCTCCCTCGGTGATCCATGGAGCATTCTATTTTCCCTCGGCTTCGCCTCGGGAAAATAGAACGTCCAGTCTATGCATACTGATATGTAGTTATTTGCTCATAGATCGAAATTGTCCGAAGAATTTCCTCAGCATTTTTTGGGGGAGGGGAATTTTCTATACTGGATTTTGATACTCCTGTGTTATTTATTCACTTTAGACTCAGACTTTGCTTAGACTTGATAAAAACTAGCCTCCCTCGGTGATCCATGGAGCATTCTATTTTCCCTCGGCTTCGCCTCGGGAAAATAGAACGCCCAGTCTATGCATACTGATATGTAGTTATTTGCTCATAGATCGAAATTGTCCGAATCATTTTCTCAGCTTTTTTGGGGGGAGGGGAATTTTCTATACTGGATTTTGATACTCCTGTGTTATTTATTCACTTTAGACTCGGACTTTGCTTAGACTTGATAAAAATGAGCTTGAATGATATTACAGCATTTATGTGATGAAAACAAACTTCCGTCTTTCATTATGAATATATATTGACCTTGTGCTGTAATAAAAGCACACTTATATTCTGACAATTGGGCTTTGGTTTTTGTGGAAAACATATCAAACTAAACTACTAAATACTCTCACTGTCCCCAGTGCACTCCAAATAGACAATGTGAACCCTAACACTTTTTGAAGCACGTGGAATCTGTTCGTTGAATTCCATGGTCTAACACAAGCAAAATCATCATTAAATTTAAAAAATGAAGGTTTGCGGAAACACCATGTGCGAATAATTTCTCAACTAAGAGAATGGTTCTGTAAAGAACCAGAGGTATAAACTCGACTTTCCAGTCAGTATGCTCTGACCGTCTTCAGGAGAGTGCCTTAAAACTCTAAGCAAGTAAACACTTAAGTAGCAAAAGTGAAATCGATGAAGTGTGAAGTTGCATCCTGTGTGGGTGCCAAGTAGCTGGGATCCTAGGGCAAGCTTGGTGTGCCGACTGAAGTGGAACAGTAGAGTTGCAGTCTCAGTAGAGGGAGGACCCGTTTATACCTCTGGTTCTTTTCAGAACCATTCTCTTAGTTGAGAAATTATTCGCACATGGTGTTTCCGCAAACAATTCATTATTTAGTATCTCCACCCTCAAATCTTACTCATCATTAATGTATTTTACTACAGTACATGTACTTTAGATTGAGTCTGACATTAGAATCAGGATCTCCCGTGAGAAATGAACAAAGGAAGCGAAGAAAATAAGCCAAGTGTTTTGTTTCCTCCTTGACAACAGAGCAGTGACAAAGGCGCCGTGGCCAAGAGCAGCCACAAGACGCGCATTGAGCTGATGGGAGTAGGGGATGCCGTACGCCCAACGCACAGATCCAAGAAGACAAAGACCAACGGGACATCAGAGGGGACGTTGATTGCAGTCCAACCACAGGTCATCTCTAAGCACACTACCCCAGCCCACTTGACTGCTGGCGAGAATACCAGCGAAGGGGATGTCAGGTTTGTAAGAAAACATTAGTGTAGCGTTTCAAAAACTCTGGTCAATAATAAACAATATATCTTTGGCGCTATACATTAAAATGATGTGTATAGTTTTCATAGAGTACATCTTAAAGCCAGAGTCCATCATTTGCAGCTATCCAAAAAGTAACTGGCGTAATTATTGTTGCAAAACATACTTGGTTGAAAGATAGTAAGGGGACTAAACTACCTGTGAACTTATTCTTTCTGGCAAGCTGTCATTTTGAAGAAATCAATGAAAGAAGGCCTTTCCAATGGTGCTTCTTAAGAAGCACTGTAGGAAATTAAAATTAGTAGTTCGTTTTGTTATTTCCCACATCACAGCAGTCAACAATTGTTAGTTGATTCCACTAGTTTAGTTGTGTTCCCTGTTCAACAAATAAACCAAAACAATATAAAAGCTGAGCATTTAGTAAAAAAATAACAACAGAATCACTTTCGTGGCACTATGAAAAATTTGAGCTTAAATATATCTGGTAGTTTTGGCAATTAAACCCTCAAGAATCCCGAAATTGAACATGTCATCTATTAAGTCTGGTGCAAACACAGAATCCTGTTAATCACTCCCTCGGTGGGCACCGTCTTGTGTGATGACCTGGCCTGGAATTCAGCCGTCAGTGGCCGCAGTCTTTGAGTCCAGACAGCTTTAAATTCAAAACAGATGACCACAAGACACATATAACACTCTTGTATTGTCAAGGGAGGAAGATTGACCTATCATGGTCACTTCCAAATAGACAAATATTCCAAGTAAGGACTTCCCCTGTTAGCCATATTACCCAGTGAATCAGCTACTGTTAGGATAAATTGCTGTGGGTTGTAATTTGTAGCACACTTACCAGATATCCCATAGGGGCCAGGTAGTGTGGTTGAAGGCCTGGCTGTACCACTCTCCATCAGGATGGTAGTAAATCAAGTCCAGACAAAGAATACAGAGCCGGAGGGACTGCATATTACAATTATGGAGGTGTTTGGGGAAGCAAACGGGACTTAGTACGCAGTAGTAGTTTGATATTTGTATGAGGACTGTCTTTGTTGATATCAGTGCATAAACTTAAGACTTGTCTTCTTGTCTTGTCTTGATGAATACTGCACCAACACCCCTTCTCAGGGGTCACACGGGCATGGTATACATATCCTTCCTGCCAGAAACACCGGGGCGGACCCCTTCTCTTAGCGATAAGCGTTACTGGGTTCTTTTACGTGCGTTAGGCCTTATACAACACACGGGACCTACGGCTTTACGTCCCATCCGAGGGACGAAGCAAGAATGGTTAAGTGCCTTGCTTAAGGGCACAAGTGTCCGCGCCCGGGCTCGAACCCACGCCACTGTTGCCTCTGAAACACCAGAGCATGAGTCCGGTGTTCTTAACCGCTAGGCCATGACACTCCACTGACAGGATGTAGTGGATAGTCTGTCCACACTAACGGTTACAAGTGATAACTTTATGGGTGAGAAATGGGAGGTGGATTTCAAAGCAGCTTTTTGCAAATCTTTGGGGTTTTTTTAGGCATTCCTGTATTATATGTGATTGCACTGATAAATAAGTAGACTGATTCACTGGATATGTAGGAAATTACTTGGCCATCTTTAAGATGAAATGAAGGATAATGTTCATAACATGGACGAACATTCTTGATTCATACTATATATTCTTGTTATGATTAATCCAGCCCTTGTTCCATTTATATTACTTGTTCAATGTAGAATTGGTATCACTCAAGATTAAAGCGACCTGTTTAGTATTTATGAAATTAGGATGTGACTTGATACATGTTCCTAACATGGACAGAAATTTGTGACAAATGTCTGTCCCTGTTATGAACATGAAGTCTTGAAGATGTGCACACCCTGTAGTTTAAAGATACCTAGAGGTTGAACCTAAGATTGGCCAGTGACAATCCCTCAATAGATAGCTTTACATTAGGGACACAATTTGGGATAATTCATGTATTTCACTTACTGCTTCCCAACACTTAAAAATGCAATGTCTGTCCATGTTATGAACGTTAAAACTTGAAGATAATCCTCTGTAATTTCTCGAAACCTGAACAATTTATCAAACTTGTTGGTGGGCAATGTTCTTACTAGGATATTGGATGTAGAAAGGGGGAAAACTTAACATATTACTTCATGTATCGACTCCTGTCCATGGTTCCCTCCAAATGTCACGCTTTTGTAACCGTTAGTGTAATCAAATTTGTTTGAAAAAGTAAACTTTAAAACTATGTCATTTTACATGAAGTTCCACCTACAAAAAGGGATTTTCCTTTGTTTTAAATTCAGTACATTTTATTAATTTTTTTATTTTATTTCTTTCTGGTAATGAAACCAAGGATTCCTCAAAAGTGCCCTAGGCACTGTAGCTCGAAAGCCTGAAGAAACCTGTAGAGAGAAGACAATGAGAAGAAATTACAGTTTTAGAGATGGGAGGAAAAGCCCAGAAGAATATTCTGGTGAAAACCCACGGAATCAGGTAGGGACTGAAAACCCAATCCACATATTGGCCCGGGTGGGATTCGAACCCGGGTCACAGCGGTGGAAGGCGGCGAAAGTACTGCTACGCCAACCTGACTCCCTTCAAAACCTGTGTCTGCGGCGGAATCAGGCCGTATCATATGGGACACCATTTTAAAGCCAGTATCTCGCAGACCTAATCACTGATATTATCCATTTCTCTCTGGCAGCCCTGAAGAAGTCAAAACTCACGATGGAAAACTGAACCAAAGTCCAGACTCCAAGTCCGTCCAGGGAGTGGTCCTGATCCATGATCATCTCATCTTCAGCAAGACTAAGGTTGGCTGTCGGTCCACGCTCAAGATTCAGGTGCAGAATACATCCAAGCAGACACACGCTGTAAGTTGATTGACAATACCGATTGGTTGCTAAATCATTCATTTCGTGCATGTGTAAGTTGTCAAACCTTTCCCCTGTAGGCTTGCTAGGCAGTCCATGCTTCCACTATTCCCCCCATTGGATACATTGTACAGGGTGAGTCAAAAAAAGCGGAACCCAAACCCCATAAAATATATTCCATATTTAAAAAAAATATGTAGCACCAAAAAAAAATAATGACTGGAAAGCCAATTTCATAAGCTACTTTTAGATGAAAATATTATTGAAATTGCTCAATCCATTCAAAGAATATCACCTTTTAAACACAATGACTCTAAGACCTGTCTCGTCTAAAAAAGGCAATTCATTATGTGTTTTGACTGTTTGGAACAACAAAGAAAATGACACAGAATACTTGTTTCACCAACTGTCACCAACTGTAGTACACAATATCTTTATTAACGACCCCGGTTAGGCAAACAATATGATTTATAAAATCATCTTTTTTAAAGGACAGGCCTTCAAACGGATTCTGTTTAAATATTTTTAATGTTTAAACTGAGATTTTATCGCTGGTGATGTTTGAAGACAATTGCGATGATGATTCTTGAAATCGCATTTTTTTGGACGAGACAGGTTTTAGGGTCATTGTGTTTAAATGGTGATATTTTCTTAACGGATGGACCAATTTTAGTCATCTTTTCATCTAAAAGTACCTTATGAAATTGGCTTTCCGGTCGTTATTGTTTTGGTGCTACAGTTTTAAAAAGAAATAATAATATAATTTTTGGGGTTTGGGTTTCGCTTTTTTTGACTCGCCCTGTACATTATAGACCCCTTTGCAGTCATGGATCATTCATGGTGTGGTATAGCTTCTGGCATGTGCCTCCTGAACACAGATGAATTAAAGATTAACCATTTTCCCCACACAGGTCAAGTTTCTCAGCCCTCAGCCGCCATTCTTCATCCGTCATTACCAGCACACAATCCCACCCAATCGTTTCATTCGTTTGCCTGTCACCTTCAAGCCCAGCACACCAGGCAAGCATCAGGCAGCGTTGATTATACAGACAGAAGGCCAGCACAAACTGCTGTCCAAGTTGGAAGGAATTGCAGAGTCAGATTAATAGACGTCCATTTTGTGTGAATACAGCACAAGTTTCTGGAGTTGCAAGGTTTATAAGGTCAGTGGAATTGCTTTGTTCTAATTTTATGAAATAAATCCAATTTCTTTGTATACATTCTCTCTGGTATGGTGGTTTGGTGATTAAATGGATTTTTCCAGAAGTACAGGCTTATTAAGTGTTAAAAAAGTTGAAATATGAAGTGTGAAATATGAAGTGTGAAAATAAGCTGATTTACCTCACATTTTCACGGTCATTGACCCTAACCATCCCAAATCCTCCAAAATCATATTTGCACATTGAAGGAATTTGCAGGATTGAGGTTACATGGCAAAAGTGGGCTGCTGGTTTCGGAGGACGCACTGTGTCAAGGCAAGGGCGGATCCAGAAAACAATTTTTTGGGGTGGGGGCCAAAAAATTTTTTGGTCCCCCCAAAAAAGTGGGTCAAAAAAATTACGGCGTGGGGTTCGGGGCCCGCTTAAGGGCCCCGAAATTTTTTTGGATTCTAGATGCTCTGTGGTGCGATCTGAGGCAATTTCTGACCACTTGAAACAATTTTTTTTTGAGGAAAAGATGGTGGTGTACTCATTGCCTGCCTTTATTGCGATGTCACATAAAAAAAAAAAAGAAAATTGGTTTCGTTTTTGGGGGGGGGGCCCATGGCCCCCTTTGCCCCCCCCCCCCCCCCCCCCCCCCGGATCCGCCCTTGTGTCAAGGTCTTGGGCCGGACTTTGTGTTGTTTATGCTCAGCCTGGCATAAATTTAGTCCTTGATTATACTGGACATCCTCCGCACTGCTCCAGGATGTCACTGCCTCTGCCTCAGCCTATTGACAGTCACAGCCGGAGCATTTTGCAGGATTCAGGCAGTGGTCACATCTCCACGGACCATATTCAAGAAATAATGGAGGAATTTGCAGGATTGAGGCTATATGCTATTTTTCCATGAGGCCAATTGGAGGGTTTTGCAGGATTGAGGCTACATCCTAGCAAAAAGGACTGGGGAGTTAGGGTTAAGTAGACACCCTGTCTACCAAGTGAGGTAGACGGTGTGTGGCATGAAGCTGTACTCTGCGGGCACAGGAGATCATTACAACAGGTCAACGCTGTCTCTGCATCTGATTGATCCATTATTAAGTTATGTGGAAACTAAAGTTATGATAAAAGAGTTTTAGTCCCACATGCAAGTAGGGGTGTGCATTTACGGGTAGTACGGGAAATGGGTACCTGATTGAAAAAAACACGGGTACCCTGGTATCCATTAAAGAAGCCGAAACCCAAAATTCAAATCTTTGGAAGTTCAAATTTTTCATAAAGGTCAGCACAGTAATAATTGCTGCCACACTGGTGCATCAGTGCAGTAGGATAGTAAGCTCTATAGCCAGGGGTGTGAAATCTCAGCTTTAAAGCTCATTTCAGTTTTTTTCAGCTTTTTCCCTCACTTACTGTTACAAAAGTATAGGAAATTTCCAAAGTTCAGCTTTTTTACACCTTTTTCCAGCTAATTTCAGCTATTTTTGTAAGTGGTCACTCACACCCCTGATAGCTTTATGAGCTCTAGAGCTTTAAAACTGCAACTTTCGCGAGCATCGTAAACGTGATTTATGTGGGTTTTTTTCATCCTATGTAGCCTGGCTTTCGTTTTGAAATTTCTCACAAAGGACATTCACAACCTTTCTTTTTCATTGTCTGAGAAGTTACATGTACTAAGATATTAGTAACCGGTATGTAGTAAATTTGTAATGATGTGGCTTTTTTGGCAATTTTATAAACACATGCATTATTATTAAGTGCTTTCTACTTAAATATTTGCCTGACAATTTTTAGGAAGGCTTATAGTTGGCTTCAAAAATTGTTTTTCTCCGGTGAAACAAAATGCCTCATTGTGTTTCAAAAGTTGGGGTGGAAAATACTTGTAGCTTCTTGTCCGAGATCTTAGAGAGTTTCAGCCTGATGACTTGTCAAAATTGGTAGCCACCCTCCAAGGCATTGACCATGAATCTGAAGCTAATAAATCAATCTCTTAACATCTTTATTAAAAGGAAAGGAAACTATCTTGCAAAACAATAGTTTGGGCATAATCAGACTGGCCGTGAGGCATGCCAAACAGCTGGGCTTCGTTTCAGCACCAGAGAATTCCTATTCTCTTTTGGTCATCGTTGGTGAATAATTTCCATGTCTCGCCGTAGATCGTGCCACATCTGATATCAATCAGACGTCATAATGTTTGCCATCCCTGTTTGTTGACCTGGAACAGTGTTTGTCCCTTGTCCCTGGTAGAGCGGACACTCTTCTCGTCTGACACATTGTGAGTCAAATGAGTATGTGGCCATGAGGGTTTCTCAGGTCAAATCGAAAACTGGAGAACAATTTGGGCGATTCACAATGCAGAGCGCCACCAATAGTTTGCCACGGAGAGTTAATTTTTCCCAGTGCATTGTGGGAGATGGTCGACAAATTCGCAGCACGGGACATTTGAAATTGTTCGTTTTTTTCCGGTCAGTAGTTTCGTAAGCGTATGATTCGAGTATATGATTGCCCTTTTCTTTGTATCAATATGGTGATTTTTTTGTAAGGCAGCAGAATGCTATGCCCCTATCTATAGCATAATAGCTCAAGTTGTCTACTGACACTCATTCTAATGGGCCATATTTTGTCGACCGTAAACTTGAAAAGTTGACTCTCCATGGCAAACTCTTGGCGCGCACTGCATTGTGAATCGCCCGAATTGTCTTGACTTTGAATATATATCATCATAGTTATTCAGACACTATTTGCACTTCGGTTCTGTCAAAATAATGCTCATCTCAAAAGTTACCAGCGCAATTAAATACCCTAAAAATGCTCAGAATAGGAAGATACATGTAACTTGTCACCAGTGTCTATACAACATAATCTGTTTTTACTTAAGCTAAGCAAGATATGAAAATGAGTGGCTGATGTGGCATTACGCATCTACTTTGGCTTGGGCTTCAAATTCTTCAAAGTGACAGCATTGCATATTTTGGGTAAGGCAGCATATGGGTGCCTCATCCTCCTAACTCACAGTGTGTTGGTAACAGGTTCAACTTCTGTTGTACTTCTTCTTCTTCATCATTCATTCATTTTCATAATGACTTGATGAGTTGGGCCCAACTGTCCCTGTCGAGCATAGTGTTGGAAAGAGATGGACCACTCAGACCAGTTGTTAGCTCGATGGATGTTTTCGGGGTCATGTTGGGACGACCTTTTCGTCTGTTGTACTACCGATACTTAAATCATAGAAATACATTGAACCAGAAAAAATAGAAAGTTTTTGTCCTGAACTAAAAAGACCCCCCCCCCCCCCAAAAAAAACAACCAAAATTAAAAATAAAAAAAAGTAAAAGAAAAAGGTTATGAAGAAATTCAAGATCTAATCAATTTCTCAGCATTCAGTCTGTCTTGCAAAGTCTGCTCGTATCTAGAATCCATTTTTGGCATCAAATCCCCTGCTGTGTGTGTAAAATGGACCATTTTACCAGACTCATGTCTAAGCCACTAAGGCGATCGCTTCTTGTGGTGGTTCTATTAGGCAGCTCAGTGTTGGCTCTGCACATGGCTTTTACAAACATCTGATCGGCGACGGCAAGACGAGACACCATTTCCCAGAAGAGAAAAACCTGGCACTCTCAGCTGTTTTTTTTTCTTTCTTAATTCTGGAAAATCTCATTGTCTGGGCCTTTTGCACACAGTAGCTCACAGCCTTAGGCAAAGACTGAGATAAGAAAAAAAAACCAAGAAGACAAAAATGATGCACAAAGTGGTTTATAATTCTGTGATGATCGTCATCGGTAATGATGTTTTTCCGTCGCATATGGAGGGGCTATTCTCATTTGCTGAAAATAAGGAAGGGGAGTAGACGTGTGGACTGGGACGAAGAGAAGCTTAAGGCAGTGAATGGGATTATAGATCTCTTCTCTTCCCTCTGCTATCGTAAGCCACTTGGATTGCACTCACGTTGAGGAAACTCTGTTTCCAAAATAAATGTTGTCGTCCCGGATGAATTACTGCAGACTTGTTAGTTCGCTCTACCCAAATGATAGGCTGGATTCTACTCATACATCTAGCCAGAGGCCTTTACAGACATCACATTACTATTTGTACCACGGGGCCTGAGTTGGAAATATGAGAGTTTTTAATTCAAAGTTGAGCAGAATTTTTTTTTGTAGTGATTTCATTTCAAGTTGATCATAGCCGAAGAGTCTGCCCCGTATTGTATTATTTTTTTCATTTCCTTTGTTGTTCATATAATGTTTTAGACAGACCTTGGAAATTGAAACTGCTATATGGCACAAAGAGGAACAGTAGCCACAAAGGCATAGTTGGTGAGTGCTATCCTGGACAAAGGCAATGTCTCCATGTAACATGTCTGTTCCCTGCAGTCTCTAAATTTCCTCCCCTCCATTCAGAGAGTATTATTGTAAAGCCAGCGGTATTCTTGCGCTTTTTCCCCCTTCACACAGGCATTTACAGAGGCACGTTCTCTCTCCCCTCCCCCCACAGTATTCTAAGCCTTGGAGGAGGATGTTATGAGAGAATACAGCTGCAATAGAATACCTCCAGGGGCTGTTAAAAAAAAAGTCCAGAAATGCAACTGAGGAGATCTATGAGTGGTTTATTGGTGGCATGCACATTGTGTGGTTCCCAGAACTTTACAAAGATTGCCAAAAAATGAGTAGCAATTCAGGGCACTGCCTGTAGCTAGCACGTAGTCGTATTGGAATAGGAAGAGAACGTATGACTCTTGTAGGAAACATTTTACAGAGTGTATTCATGAACAGCAGCACACTAAACCCCATTTTGTTTCGAGCACATTTCCTGATTCCATCAAACCAATGGCCAGCACCAGATTTCACGAAGCGCTGCGACGCGTCGCAACTCGAGTTGCGACGTGTAACACGTTGCAACTCTCGACTCATCGTATCATCCATTTCACGAATCATGCGATGAGTTGAATGCATCGTAAGTTCCTTGACAACGTCGCAAGTTACGACGTGTCTAGTGGTCATCACAAAATAAGAAGAGTCCCTTTCTTAGCCAGTTTAATATCTTAAACATTACA